CCTGTGTAGTACTTCTCGCCCATGGCGTGGATAAGCCCATTTGCTTTCCCATCGCGCCTATGCAACGGCTCTGTACTGCGTTTTGGTGTTGCCGCAGACAACAAAGGGTTGCGAGCTTGAGCAGTACTGTGTTCTAACCACGGCGACAGTTAACGCGTGCCCTGCAGTTCGCTAAGACCGGACCCACGCTAGTGGCCGTACTCCTTCAGGATACCTGTACATCACAGAGCCAAATTGTCATATGCAGATCGTGGGCTGGCATGATCTCGATTAAAGGTGACCTTGCAGCTGCAGCTGATCCCGAGGGAGCTCATCTAGATTGGTCCTGATTACAATGAAAAGTGCCGTGTGACACCAATATAACGACATTCAGTCATTTCAGCCACGCAGGCGGCGCCATGCGGCTCGCCTCCGAAGCTTCCACACAGTGATAACAATCTGGGATGCAGTTTGGTGTGGTTCAGGGTTCGGTCTCGCGGTAGTCATGGGCGCTCCTTCACGCACCCAGACGCTGACACATTGCGGTGGGCCTATGACCACGTATTTCTCTGCGACATACATTGTCGGGAATCGTATAATTCGTAATACAGCCTTTTTTTCCCCCTCACAAACAAGCGCTATTAGAGGTGAGCTCCGCCGCATCCAGACGATAGCATCAAGCCACCGCGGTGACCATTCCCCCTGAACAGGCGCTAGCAATGAAAAAAACAAAGGTATCAAAAGGCGCCCAGAGCGTGCCCTTACCCTCTAGCGCGGTGTAAGATACAAATTGTTTATGTCTTACACCGTACTGTTTACACACGCGACTGAGACTAATGGCCGAGCAGATTGGGAGAATTTGAGACATCGTAGTTAGTCGGGCCGTCCTTTTCTGCAGACTAACCGCCGAGAGGAATTTTTTTTCCCTCTATAAGCGGGATTCACATGAGGGAGAACTCTCTGGAGGAGAGGCGAGGATGGTGCATCATGTGACGACGACGTCACGGGTTAGTGTGTCGACGCGCTCTCCTCGCGGCTCCCTCGGGGGAGGCGGGGATTGTTTCCGACCGGTCAAACGATCCCCGTGCTGCGGGGGATGTAGTGGAATTTCGGGTGGGTCTCTGGCCACATTGTAGCCTTCTCTCCTGCATAACTCGGCGACTGAAGGATAGTGTGTGGGAGACGATAGCCAAACAGATGATGGAGCGCTACCATCTCTTTGGATTCATATTTAGTTTTGTTTTAAAGTGGTTATTCTGATTATAATTGTGACATTGCCCATTTTTGTTGTTGCTGCTGCTGCTGCTACTGCTCTACTTGTTCAGCCTGATGGGGATTTCTTACTTTATGCAGAAATTTTTTTAACAGGCCTCTTTATTCAAGATTAGACGCTTAAAATATAGGCAATTGTAGAATCCGAATGCTGTTTTTTTTTTTTTCCAGAAACATGACATATTTCACATCTTACTTTATTGGCTGCACTGATGCAGCAGAATCTCAGGCCGAGTTTGTGTTGTGAAGACACAAATGGTCTTTTGTTACCTTAGTTTTGTTACCTTGGCTTGAACAGATAATTTTCAGATATTAATAGGCTAGATTTCTTCCATTCTCGGTTGTTTTCATGAAAAATGCTATAATAGCATAATTCCTTCTTTACAGAAAGCCAACCTACATCGAAAGATACTTTATTGGAATTCCTATCTACTGACTCAATATTAGTATTTGACGAGTTAGAGAGGCTGTGAGCAATTTTGTAGTCGGGGGAAAAAAAAGCCATTGTCAGTGACACTGCCAATTATTACTCACAAGTTCGTATACTATTGCTGTATTTTTTGTAATTACCCCATCCATGTAGCCATAGGAGGTCCCCCTGTCAGTTTCTCTGAATATTAGGGACCTCCTGCTGTAATAACGCTAACCATGTAACTCAACTGAACTATTTAATAAACTTGACTTGACTGCCCGAAATGTCGCTTTAGGCAAGTTTATCTTTGCAAAAAAAAAAAAAAGTGCTTGTGGTGGCTCGTCAAACCAAGCGCAACGCTGCGTCTGCATTCGACAAAAAACAAGAAATTCCACAAAAAACAAGCACAAAAAAAAACATACCACAAAAAAACGGGGGGGGGGGGGGGACAGGGGGAGTGGTGAATTTGGCTAAGAAGTTTCGATGTTTCGAGGGGTTAATGTGAGCCGTGTAGTGTGGTCAGTGCGGCTATCGCATGTTAAAAACTAAAACTTGAAGCGTATGCCAGTTACTGCACTTGAACAAACTCGGTGTTCAGTGAATGCCGCTGTTGCTGGTGACCTCGTTAGTTGCCATAGTAACGGCACATTTGGTACATATCCGTTGCCTGGGCGCGTGCCATTGTCACTTCATCTAGTCAAACATGCCTTCTAAGCGAGCCGAGAAGCTGGGCTCTAAACCCAAGCCCATCATGAAAATAAAGGGGGGGGGGTTCGGAAATTTCTTGGCCTTGTGCTAACCCATGCAGGACGCCACTTAAGCCACCTTTTCACAGTAAACCGGTAGCCTGCGGAAAAGCATTTTAAGATATGGGAGGGGCTGTTAGCACTAGTTACAGGACACAGCACAGTTTGTTCAATTACTCATGCGTGTATACGGAACATGATTGTCAGTTCTAATATGATTGCTGACATCTAAAAAAACTACTGCCCATCATTTGGAGCACTGTTGGGGGCCAGTATAGTGACCGCGCTACTCACTGTAGCGGATGATCACCGCGGGTTCACGCTTAGCGGGCCACAGGGCTGTGACTCCGTCACCTACTCGCGTGTAGCGCACCGCCGCAAACAGACAGGGTACAGAATACACCAACTTTTGGCGGCACCCCGAGCAACAGTACAACGTCTGTCCCGGGATGCGAAGAGCAAAGGCTCCCGCACACGGACGTTCATTACACAGCACAGTTTGTTCAATTACTCATGCGTGTATACGGAACATGACTGTCAGTACTAATATGATTGCTGACATCTAAAAAAGCTACTGGCCATCATTTGGAGCACTGTTGGGGGCCTGTATGGTGACCCGGCTACTCACTGTAGCGGATGATCACCGCGGATTCACGCTTAGCGAGCCACAGGGCTGTGACTCCGTCACCTACTCGCGTGTAGCGCCCCACGGCAAACAGACAGGGTACAGAAATACACCAACACTTTATTGCTTTTGGCGGCACCCCGAGCAACAGTACAACGTCTGTCCCAAGATGCGGAGAGCAAAGGCTCCCGCACGCGGACGTTCATGATAAGGGGAAACCGCGAGCACGTTGCAGCAGGTAATGGCGAGCTTTGACACGCCGGTCGGGAAAAGGTCCCTCGCGGCTATGCTGCGCACTCTCACGATGGCCACTGGGCCTGGTCGCGAGTGTTAGGGCAAATTTCGTCCGCGTAGGCCTACGGCGAGTGCGGCTCGGTGTGGTACGACCACTTCAAGCACTAGGCACCGCTGTGGGCTTAGCGTACCGTACCGAAGCTAGCACTCAAGTAAACATGCCTGCCGAGGTGCCAAGGCCACCCCAGGCAGGCTACAGTCCGGCGATTCCCAAAGGGGACGCGGACGAAGGAAACACGTGCTTACCCGGCGCAGACCACAGAGAAGAGAGAGCTCCCTCGGCGCGCACGTAACACGTGGCACCATCTATAGCTACGCGCCGTTACCAGAGCAGGAAAAGCATAAGGGTGCGGCAGTGCGGCAGAATGCCCGAGAAATGGTCGCAGGCGCGCCTCAGATTCCCACACATTTCTGCAGCCATACAAAATGAAACAAAACTGTGCGCCATTTTTTTGCCACTCCTACTTCATAATTCAACTGATCTCCTGAATCTCAAGGTTACCACTTGGCAGATATCCGCATCTGAATTCTCAAAGTCTGTGAAAGGATTCGACAGGTGTGGCAAATGCTAATCTGGAGTTTATCATTGCTTCCCGAGTGAGGTGCTTCAAAACACTACTTCTACGGAAATATCGGTGCTCATATCCACTCTGCACGATTTGGGGGTGTTGAATGGTTTGTACTTTTTTTTTTTTTTTTTTTTTTTCAAAATGTAAGCCTATTTCATACTGCTCCAAGTTCGTTCTTTTATGCACTAACCTCTAGGGAAATCTATATGCATGATAACCGAATACAAAATGCTATAATCAGCAATCCAGGGATTGATTTGAATAAGCATTGTTTGTGCTGACTGATGTAATAGGCATCTATTACCCAGCCTCTAAGCAAAGAATTCATTGTGAAGATACCAAAGGTGACCTAGTTTTATTCTTATTAGCAGGCCACAGCATGCACTTGTTTCTGCTGTGAAATGCAATTAGTTTCTCGTTCAAGTGTTTGGTTAGTTTCACCTGACAAAATTGGATAAGCATCTACAATCAATTACATTGAGAATCCTCTTAAAATCTTGAAATAAAATTTAGTTTCAAGTTAGCACTTGTCTTTTGTATATGTTGCAAGTTTTTCTGTTTTGTATTTGTGCACTGCCTGCTCTAATATACTTGCACTAACTTAAGTTCATTTCCCTGGTCTTCCTTTGCAGCAACAGTGTGAAGCTTCATTATATTGGGGCTTAAAATATGTGGTCTTCTATGGACCTGGTGCTCTGAAATGAGTACACTAATGTATCTAGACATTTGTTCTGAGAGTTTTATTTTGTTGAGGTTTGTTATCTAGGTTCATCTGTGTTTTAGCTTTGTGGTTGGAAAATAAGCAGCGTTATAATGCTTTTTGTATTGTTTGATAATATTGTAATAGAGTTGGAAAATAAGCAGCATTATAATGCTTTTTGTATTGTTTGATAATATTGTAATAAAATCTATTTAAATTGAATTTTGTGGGTATAGAACAAAAAGCCAAAACAAACCACATGTAAAGCTAATAAATTTTTTAGTTAGGAATATATGCTTGCCTCTCATGTTGGCTGTTGTTGGCCACTTCAATTCAACAGCCGGTTTTAAATTTGCCAGCTTTATTTATAGCTCTTAGTCAGAGCTTTCTGTTCTTTTGGCAGGACGCAACACCCTGGTCCCCACACAAGCTAATGAGTGGTGCGCCAGGAGACTCTCTGCACCACCACGCTGGCCACCACACCCACCACCCACAGCAGCAGCCACCTCATCACGCCCATGTTTCCACTGCCAAGTTGGTATGTTCACCCTTTCTGTAAATTATACCTGTTGTCCATTGTAATGCATGCTGTTTTCTTTTGCTGCCTATTACCTTAAAAGCTTCCACTATCCAACGTGCTTTAAATATCTTTCTACTGTACTACCTTCTTTTGTTCTTGTGACAAGCTCATGCATGCTTAGTTGAACTAGTTCGTTCTTCCAAAGAGTTACTGCACAAGTTACAATGTGAAATTGTTGCCGACACCCATGTGGCTTTGTGTAACAGCCTTAGGCAAAAGTTTGTTGTATAACTAGCTGTAGGCACTAAATTATTGTCACTTACTTACATCAACCGTTATGCGCTAACAAGTGCTTTCGACCACATCAACTGGCTGTATGATCGGAAGGCCTATATTAGTAGTGCACCTGTGGTTTCCACTAACTAGGGATGTACTAATAGTGAGTTTTAGTGAATTCAAAGCAAATAGGAATTCGCTCGAATAATTTCGAACGCAATAGTTCGAATAGTATATTGCACATGTAAAGAAATGTGAGCATATTTGTGAGCAATTCAGGCTCATCTCCACTAAAGTCTAATCATGCGTTGTGGCCTTTTTGTCTATCCATTTGAAGACAATGCAGCTTTTTTCTTTGTTACAGCTTAAATTAATGACTCATTCACAAAAACTGAATTGACTCTTTTATGCCAACTTGAGGGCAGTTCATAATATGGAAAAGTAGTGAGTATCACAGTTAATGGCATACCAATTAGAGTATTTATATAGCTCGTGTACTGCTTGAATTTCAAAAGCTGACTTCATTCTTACCCCAGTGGAGGAATATGAGAGGTGTACAAATGGTACCTGTGCCACCTTCTGGAAGTTTCCAAGAGATGGTGCCCTCGTCCGGGGTTTGTCGATTCTGGGCAATGCATGTGGGTGTACGTAGTGAAGGCTCCTTCATTTTGTTGCCTTGTATAGCCACCACATCAACTTTGCATACAGTAGCGTAGGATGGTTGTCACAGTTTGTGTGTGACGACACTGCAGTCGAAATGGTTTGATGCTGCAAACCGCGATCAATTATGGCTCAGCAGGCATTGCTGCGTCACCATGTTTTGTCGACCACATAGAATTTTGATTGGCTGACTAATTCGACCTCTGGTTTTTACAGTAATGAAGATGGGGCCCGATTATGCTATCGCGTTGCACTCTTGAAAACGAAGCCCAAGTACCCTCCAAGTTTGTTAGTTTGCTTTCATCCTGCATTCCCCCTGGCCCCTCCACCTTCCCCAACCGGTAATCTAGGTAAAACCAGGTAAAAGAAAAATCTGTGTTTACTTGTGCCACAAGTCATTGGTATATGAGAAATTGCTCTGAGAGATAAACAGCAATGCAGCATGCAGCTGAACACATGCCTTTGTTGCAGAGCTGTTTGGGCAATTGTAATCAAACTTACACTAGTTAGCCACATCTATCAACTGTTAACTGTGGATTTGTGTGGTCGTAATGTTGCGGCAACACATTGACTGTCAGTGTCAAAGACTGTTATTTCCAGAAAAATGCTCATATTAATGTGGCATTCCCAGGTTCAAATATTCCATTGAGAAACCTATATTATAAACAAACGTTTAAACAAAGTTTTAGCAAAGTAAATAAATTTTGCATTAAACGAAAGCCAAACACAAGTAAAAATTGAACCAGTCAGATGTGCAGTTTTTTCAGTGCTATAAATAATTCCTAAAGTAATATCTTTACATTTTTATAACATTCCACCCATCACCCTTGACAGCAAAATACTTAACCTTTCAAAGTGAGCAAGTTGTTTGGGTGTCGTACTGAATTTCTGTGTTCGAGTATTCACTCTATTAATGGTGGCACTTCTTTGCAGCCTTGGCAAAGCTGGACACATCCCCAGACGTGATTTGGTCCCGCGGTCCCTTCCACAAGTAGCCGCTGCCATCCCGACAAGCTCTCGGGTGGCGCAGCAAGCCCCCCAAAGTAGGGGGAGGGGAGCAGAAGGAACCCGTTTATATATATTATAAATATATATATACACACACAGACAGACACACAAGCGTGCCAGACACACATTGAACGCACACACAGCAGACAACACTAGCCAGAGATTAGAAAGGCACCGGGCAAGGAACCGGATTTGGGGAAGCAAACCTTGGGAGGGGAAGCAAACCTTGGAAGAGCATGCTGCAGCGCTGTTATAAATAATAAAATTAAAAGTTGGTTCGAAAAAAAAAAAATTGTGTAGGTGTTGTGTGTTTACCGAGTGCAGTGGTAAAGCCTTGCACACAGCTTTCATAGCGGGTGCTGTTAAGGCTTTTTCATTCTGGTGACTAGCACCAGCCGTACAATAGTTAGTCTCACTGAAGGGACTGCCTTGCCTTAATCGCTCACTTTTCGAAGCTCTGAACTAATCTCGTGTGTAGGAACACTGCGTTGGCTTATTTTACGGGGCAGTGGTGGCGTGAGCTATGTGCAAGCACATGCAGATTGTGTGGTGACAGGTATGGGTCGCGCTCTACATCTGGTAACTTAAATTGTCTTTTCATCGCCAGTCACAAATGGTCGCGCAAACATAGTGACAGATGAGCAGGGGTCATTAGAAGTCTATGTCAGCTTTAGAAACCCAGGGGTGGAAGTACTGTGCCTTTCGTGCCAATTTGACATGCTGCGCCTTAACGGCAATTTGCGTATGCAACGCCAAATTTAGTCGAGTTTTATCATCGACCGAGCAACACGTGTGTGCTCGGTTGATGATAAAACCGAATGACGCAACCGCGTCCATATCAAATTAGTTCGGTCACGTCTATTGGTGCTGTTTCACTAGTCACGTCGTATTTCGGTGCATGCATGAATCTTGTTAAGGTGGCGTTTGTGTGCATATCTCATTATGGGACTCTAAATATGTTGAACAGCAAAGCTGTTAGCCGAATCACATAAACTGAATGAAAATTTAAAAGTCAGTTTAACCGGTGAAACGATGACTGCAATAGCAAAACTTTGTAATGCTAATGCCGCATGCGCTCCTTTCTATTTTTGCTACCACACCATTACGTGTGTAACGCTGCCTTGTGCAAACAGCACCCGAATGACTGGGAACAATCTAGATAATCTTAGAACCTTCTGATGAGATTATGCGCACAACGTGTACATTAGAGTTCTGGAACTTACGGGGCCCCTAGAAATAACGCTGGAATCTTTGATGGCACGTGTATAAATGCCGACGCATTTTGCTGTTTGGCAGATTATCGGCGGCCGACACTCAGGTTTGCTGTTATCAGTCTACAGCTCGTCGTTTCGTTTTCCGGGCACAGGTTCACCCTAATGCAACATCCACTTGTGAAAACAGCGGCTGCTGCCTCCGTGAACATCACGACCGCGTGACAATACAAAAGCTGAAAGCCAATTCTTTTGGATCCGACATCGCGACGCTCTACAAAACGCTGGTGTAAGATAATAAGGACGGCTGCTCCAGGGAGAAATTCTCTTATCGCACAATCTCTTCTCGTTTAGAGCTCACCACGTAGAAGGGTTTACCAGCCACGTGCTGATACTTGCTCATAGCGCGCGCGCCAGCTTATCGCTACCACGTCTTAGAATGTAAATTCACCGCTGCTGCTCGAGCACATACACCCCGCCCTTTCCCCCCAGGTCTTCTTTCATGCTCGTTCAAGAGGGGCAGGGCGGCGTGTTTTATCTCTGCTTGAGCATTCATTCGACGGCAGGTGTAACACGCGGTGGGATACTATCGCGTGTGCCGCCGTCCGAGCGAGCAACGGAGATTGGCTGCCTCGTTTAATCTCTGCTTGAGCAGCGCTCACCACCTCAGCTTGCGCGATCTTACGCGCGGGTAGAACGTACAATGCGCAGGGAATGTTACCAACTTGTAGTTTACGCAGAACATAGCGGCGATGGCAAAAACCCGTGGAGTGGTCATATAATATATATCGTAATTTTAAAAGATTACTTAATTGCCCTAAAATAGCGCACCACGAGCCCTTGCGGTACGGTCGCTGCCACTGGGCATGCGTCGTAACGTGAGCCGCCGTTCCCGTTCGCGGCCCGCAAACGCTGGTTTCGAGGCTATGGTGCCGCTGTGTGCCGCTCATGTCGGCTGTAGCACTTCAATGACCCAAACGTAAATTCTTTACACTCATTTTTATAGAGCCCTACTGTATTAGTATGAAAATTATTTTTATTTGTTCATCTCTAGTCTAATTGACTTGCTGTTCATGTTGGATGTGGTGTTTTGTGCACATCATGAACATTGCCACATTTTAACATCAATTTTTTTTTTCATTCGTCTGAGGTCTGGTGGCTGTCCAGAGTGCCACTTAAGTTTTTTTTTCTTTGAGTTGCTGTGCTTTCAGCTTTGATGTTGTAAGATTTAATATATTTATCAATTTGGGGTAAGTCTGGTCACTGATCAGCATTGAACGCTTAGTAAAAACCACTGAAATTTTTTGGTTTTATGAGAAAGCAAAAAGTCTGAGTGGTGTGCGACCCAAGAAATCTGCTCCAAAACTAAATTTTGGTGCTCCAAAATACATCTTTTGGTGCTCCAGAGCTGCTCCAAAACTCCCCTTTATTGCTCTAAATGTGCTCCAAAACCGTAATATTCCTGCTCCCAAAGCTGCTCCAAAAGACTGAAGCCCACATCCACCCCTGGACACCTGTTTGGGCTCTATAAACATCAAGTTACAGGCTGTGGCGGCTGCATTTCCGATGGAGGCGGAAATGTTGTAGGCTCGTGTACTCAGATTTGGGTGCACGTTAAAGAACCCCAGGTGGTCAAAATTTCCGGAGCCCTCCACTACGGCGTCTCTCATAATCATATGGTGGTTTTGGGACGTTAAACCCCACAAATCAATCAAATCAAACATCAAGTTACAAGACTATTGACCTAGCTGTGCTCAAACACTAGTCATGCATACCTCGAATGAATTGTGCCCTGTTATCAGACTTTTCATAGTAGCATTTTCCCAAAACAATTTTCAAGAGAACATGTGTAAATTGTTGAGAAAGTTCTCATCATAAAGTTTAATCCTGTGGCTTGATAGTTGAGCACTCCTGAGAGATCACAATGCAAATTTTGTATAAGGTCACAGCTTTAAAACTTGAGTGCCTGGTTGCCCACGAGAGTGAAGTGGAATGATCAAAATATGGGACTGGTTGCTGAGCAAGTGATAGCAGAGCAAGAAACACGTTTGAAGGAACACTGAAGGGAAAGCTAATTTCACTTGCATTTTTAGATTATTGTTGCACTGCACCAAAAATGCCACTCTCGCTACGAGAAGTCTATTGATATGTGGGTCCCAAAACCACCATATGATTATGAGAGACGCCGTAGTGGAGGGCTCCGGAAATTTCGACCACCTGGGGTTCTTTAACATGCACCCAAATCTGAGCACACTGGCCTACAACATTTCCGCCTCCATCAGAAATGCAGCCGCCGCAGCCGGGATACGAACCCGCGATCTGTGGGTCAGCAGCCGAGTATCTTAGCCACTAGACCACCGCGGCGGGGCGTCATGAGAAGTCGGAACATATGCAAACGAAAATAATAAATACTGGTGGCACTACTACTTGTTTTTTCACCTGCCGCATGTAACATCGTAGATTTGGCAGCATTAGTTTGACATTGAATTGTGCCCCAAGGAGCCACACATCGAAGGTGGCAAGCTTCTCCGTATGGAATGTGACGAAAATACAAAAAAAAAAAAAATTGGTGTGGTCATGATGCACTTGCATTTTAGTTGCAGCACAAAAACTGCTATTTTGTCATTTTTCTCTGATATTAAACCCACGAAGTCAAAATTAACGAATTAATAGGTGTGTGAAATACAAGTTTGCTTGTTGACTCATCTTGGCATGACTGACAAGGTAAGGACCTTAGCCGAAAAGCACACACACGCACCAGTGTGAAGAAGGCTCCTGCACCTCCCATCTGAGCTTTCAAAATGCATTTCTCAACTTCAACATTGCTGCTAGTCGGAGCTTTCCGGCACTGTTTGAGCAAAGCCGGTACTGATACCAATTTTTGTAGGTCGCTTTACTCGGTGATTACAAGTCTCCAGTTAGTAGAGGCAGCAAATGCAAAGCTCAAGGAATTCTGTTATTTTGGCATTAGTGTGAGTTCTTGTTTGACACACCTACAGACATCGGCACGTGTTACGTTGGGCTACGGGATCGATTCTGGTGAGTTCACGCTCCACTGTGGCTGGTTGTGATGATCAAGGCAGTAGCGCTTAAGTACTTCAAAATTGCCCTAAGCGAGGCTACGTTTGCGACCAATGCGCAGGGGGAGGCAGCCATTGTATGCAGCAAGCAGGGATGCAAAGTATGTGAGCGCATGAAAATTGCACATCTTAGAATGTGGGTACAGGACATCTCTTGCCAAATGCTCGGTCTCGACGCTTCATCATTATTATCACTACTAATCACAATTGAGGCCTTAAAGGTCATTGCAAAGTGTTGCTCATCAGTCATCTTTGTTCATGGGCCTCCTCTTGCTATGCCTCTGCATGTTTGCTTTCTCTGCTTTGAAACGTTCGTCATTATCTCTTCATTAACCAGAGTGCTTAGCAACCTGGAAATGTCTGGAAAAGTCATGGGATGGTTGTGTGATTTCTGAAAAATGTAGCAAAGCAATGGAAACTGATGACGTAGTGTGTGTGGCTGCCGGAAATAATCATTTGCCACTGATCAAATCTTAAAAGGTTGCTCCTTTGGCTGCAACCACAGTAAACAGCTTAGCAGAAGTGCGTAACTTAGTTTCTGCAAATGTACAGCATACCTCGCTTTCCAAGCACAAGATTACTCGTGCTGATATGTTTGTGCATGCTTTTTTTTTTTTTATGGACATAATTTCGGCTTGATTTGCAGGGCCATGTCAAGCTTATTGATTGGCATTGCTAGGAAAAACGTACTCAGCTGCACACTTATTGCTGGTAGCTTATGTTCCAAGGTACACATGCACAAAGTAACTGTACCGTAAAGTAAATGTCATTTCAGTTTCTTGTGATAGTTTTATGAAATCTCATTACTATTTAGCGTTTCGTCCATAGAAGAGTAGGTAAGCAAATGGAAAACGCCGACATCAGTGATTCATATATGAAATCGAAAAAAGTGATTGACTCCTCGTATGGCCGTGGTACTGGCTTGCTGACTGTTGCGACCTGAGAGATTGCTATGTGCTGCCACATATTCGTCAGCGCGTGAAATACAACCCCAAGATCAC